CTTCATTTGTGATTATAATATTGCTCATCAGCCGATTAATTCCCAAAGTATGTATATTTTATAATTATTGTAGTATATACTACGTATGTATACATAAAATTATAATGTTTTTATTTTTATTTTATTTTTTAGAAAAGAATGATGGTGGGATATTTAGGAGCAAGTTGTATGTTAAGTCTCTATGCTATTCAAATGTTGATAGAGAATCTCAATATGATATTGATGTTATATTATAAGTATATTTTGGGGTATATTGTTTTCTCTATGTTGGTCAGTTTTGTGGTTTGCTATAGGTATGGACCAGTAACAAATCCAAGATCCATTGACCTCATAAGATGGACATTACAGGTATTATATTTATTTTTAAGGATAAGGTGCGTTAATATAACAAATCAAATTATTATTTATAATTTATTTTTTATATGTCAGTACAGTTATTAAAATAAAATATAGTCAAGTTGTAATAACTTGAAAAGCTTGACAACTCAATTTTTTTTTATTCCCCTAAAAATTTTTATAACACTCAATGTAATATAAGTCTTGTTAACTCAAATATAAAATTGTGATGAATAGCTTAGTCGAAGTATATTATTATATCTAGGTATTTCGTAATACTTTGTTTTATCTATTTGAAGATTAAATGAGTAGATAGAAACTGTTGTGCATATTTTTCATGTTGTTAAACATGTCTCAAAAAACGAAAATTAAATCATTTAACTTCTATGTTTGAAACCATAGAAAAATTAGAAGATTTTGTCAATAAACAGCCGAAAACCCAAAAAATAATTACAGATTATTTTTCTATTGTATTTAATAAATAATACATATGTACATACTTATAATATAAATTTATAAATATAAATTTTATATTTTACTACATAACTCAAAGTTTTGATTTAATTTTAATAAATTGAGTTAGGTATCCCTTTTCATATTCGAATTATTACGACTTGATTGTATAAATTGTTAAATATTTGAACTAAATATAAATCTATAAAAATATTTAGCAAAATTATGAATGTATAAGTTTTATAATGATAGGTTTTGTCATTATTATTTTTGTATTAAAAATATTCTTCTATCATCATCTTTGATGGTAATATTTATTTGGTTCTTAAATTCCTTGTATTTTCTATAATAATAGATAAAAACTAAAAAAACATTACAGAAAAACAGGAATATTAACCAAGTACCTATTTTTAATGATATCAATTTTGTTTAATGTAAAATAAAGATTTTGGTTTTTTAAATGTCTGAAAATTAAATTTTAATAGAATTAGAAATAAAGAATAACAATAATAATGGTTTTATTATTTAAGTTACTTAATATTTTATAATTCAAAAGATGTTTAATTAGAAACTATGTTCCACATTATTTTTAATTTTTTATATAGTTATTTTAAAATTAAAAATCATTAATATTTATACCATAATGATTATTTTTTTATTTCATTTAGGTAATTGGTTTGTCTTTGGTTATATTATGTAGTTTTCATTTAGAAGCTATGGTTTTCGTGAATATTTTAAGTATTATACTTTACTACACAAAGTTTTCACTACCTTTTGGGTAAGTTAACAATAATAATAATTATTATTATTATATTAACTTTATAACCTTTTATGTTACAGATTATTACCTAAAAATAAACCAAAACCACGTTTATTATCTGAAGATGAATATGTACAACAATCATTGATTGAAACACCTAAAGCACTCGAAGAACTGCGAAAGTACTGTAAAAGTCCAAACTGTGATTCATGGAAGGTTGTGAGCAGGTTACGTGATCCTAAAAAGTAATTAAACCTCAGTAAATCAAGATAAAATGTTTATCAATTTTCAACAATATTTTAGATTTGCAGAATTCATGGAAACATCAGCTCATGTTAGTGCAGATGCAGTCGATGAGCACGAAAAAGAATTGGAAGATTATGATACAGAGTACAATGATGAATCAATTTCAGAAGATGATAATTCTTCTGATGATATAAAAAGATTAGAATACACCAGTGATAGTGAATAAATTATGATAACTTACCTTATGAATTTAATTGTAAAATTTCATTTTTAATACTAGTATTATTTTTTATATATATATAAGTGTAAATAACCTGTATTGTTATTCTTGTGTTATTACTTATTATTATTATTTTTTTTATTGGCCTTAAAATTAAAATAGCAAGCAACTAAATAATTTACAATATTTATTTTTATTTTTTAAGTTACACGTTGTTATGCACATAATGGACTTAATAATATATTTTTAGCTTTACAATGAATAATTCTAAAAAACTTTCTTCTGAAGCAATATTGTTAAATCCAATTAGTAATAATATATTTAATGATTTAATTTATGAAACTGAAGAACAGAAAAAAAGTATTCATGATACTGATTTTATCATTGTAGACGACTATGGATGCATAAAAGTAATTGTTTTTTCCAAATACCTAGTCGTACATTGAACTTTATGTTTTATAAAGGATGATAATGGACAAAACATCAAAGTGACTAAATATACTTTAAAGAATGAACAAAAAGTTGTTATTGAAATCATTAATTATGGTGCCACTGTTGTTTCTTGTTGGGTACCAAATGCACTAGGCGTACTAGAAGATGTTTTACTTGGTTTTGACTCAATTGAAGGTTAGTGATATATTATTTAATTATATGAAACAGTTATCATTATGTAAGTATGTTAAATAGACTATAGATTACATAACACACACTCCATTGGTGGTACATTAGGGAGAGTAACCGATTATATTACTAATGGTCATCTCGAAAATGACAAAGGTGAAATTTATGAACTTAACAAAAATCGTAATGGTCATCACTTCAATGGTGGTGAAAAAGGATTTGATAAAGTCATGTGGGATGGGTTTGTGTCGGATGATGAATTAGTATTAACATATTCAAGTAAAGATGGTGAAGAAGGGTATCCAGGTACATTTCAAGCTCGAATAACATTTCGTCTGACTTGTAAAAATGAGTTGGTTGTAGACTATGTCGGTATGACATCAAAATCAACTCCAGTAAATATGGCCTCAAATATGTTCTTCAATTTAGCTGGACAAGTAAGAACTTAATTAAATATCTTGTTAAGTATTATTTTATATGGAGAACTTTAATATATTATAGAACACCGGAGAATCTGAACTCATGCATCATTCAATAATGGTCAATGCTGAAGAATACATGGTAATAAAAGAACCAGAGAGAAGACCTGTTGGCTTAATTAAAAACGTGCATCGCACATGCCTTGATTTACGTGTACCAAGGTTATTAAAAAAAGCTTTTCCTATAGTTCCTGGTTATGGATACAATCATACATTCAAATTGTTCAAAGGAAAAGAACGAAAAGCGTTTAATTTAGCAGTCAGGTTAATATAAATACAATTCCATTGTTCAAAATATTAGTTTGCTGTATTAAACATTATTTTATTCAGCTTAGTGCATAAAAAAAGTGGTCGCATGTTAGATATTTATACAGATATGCCTTGTATCTATATAAATACTGCTCAGGATTTTCCAAATTATGGTACATCGTTATTTAAAGAAGAGGTTATGAAGGTAACTAATATAGAAGCACCATTGGCAAAATTTGATAAATATGAAAATGAACAAGATAGTGTTATGTCTGATGAGTATAAATTTGAAAGTGACGTAGAACTAATAGAAGAAGAAAACAATTTAGAGTACGAGATGAAAACTTTGTCACAAATTAACCATATCCAGGAAATCAAACCCATCAAAGGCAAATCAAATACTATCTATAGCAAACATTCTGGAGTCTGCATACGTCCACAATTATTTCCAGACGCTGTTACACATGTAATTTTATTAATTTTTGTTACTATGTACATTAACAAAATTAATTTTAATATTTGATAATCCTCTAGAAAAATTTCAAAAGTATTATTCTCAAACCATCAAATATGTATAGTCAGCAAGTCATTTATAAATTTGGAGTTATTGTTTCAACTGATTAAGATATTTATCAAAAAATAATTTAGTTTATTGAATTGAAATAAATCAACAGATTGACAATTATTATTGATAAGTCTAATGATTACATGACTAATGGAATTAAAAAAATAAAAATTTATTTATAAACAAATGTATGTTTGTATTAGACTTTTAGGTTTGGAAACTACTGAACCAATTGACATATCATTTTGACACATATTCTTAGAGATTTTGGGAGTATTCATAACTTTGTTTATCAATTTTTATAAGTAGCCATAAAGTGGCTCACAAATAAAATTCCTTTTGGCTAATGAAAATCAAATTTTTTTTATTTATGTATAGTTACTATTGGTTACTGAAATTAATTAATAATATATACTATGTATATTATACTTTTATATAATCTATATTTTTAAATAATTGTTAATAAATTATATGCTCAAAAACTATACAGATTTTGAGAAAAATTTCAAATTGTTCTTAAAAGTATCACAAAAGCATGTTTAAAAAAATGCTAAATGCTATATTTCAATCCACCATAAGTGAATTTCTTATCTCGTTTGAATTAGTTCATAAAGTGAGGTTAAAGAATTATTAAAAAAAAGTTATTTTTGTAAGTGCCAAATTTACTAAGCTTTATTTTTCTTATATGAAGATTGATCTTTATTTCCAAACTTTTAATAAAATATATTTGTAATATAACATTATCAGCAACTTACAGTAAGGACATAAGGTGAATGAAGTTTACAGTATATGATGTGTAGTGTGTGCTATGTCCAGCAGATTTTATTAAGTCTTAATAGTAGACATCATTAGGTAATAGTTGAATTTTTATTTTCTTATAAATATAGTATAACAATATATTATTAAAAACAAATTTAAAAATCACTTTTATTATACTACAGATAATTGTATTAGAAAAGTGTAAATACTTTAAAATTAATAAAAGTATACTTTCAGTTTTAATTAATTCTTATAATCTGTCAGTTTAAAAAAGGAAAACTATAATTTAATAAGATTTTAAAGTGTATAAACTTTTTGGAAAGTAGTTTAATTGTGTTTTGAGCAATAAACTTTTGTTAAAAATTTAAATGTGGGCATTTCTTCATACAACCAAACTGATGTTGTTAGTAGAAATAATACACCACCTATAACAATATGTGTAAGTTTGTTTTCTTCGTAATATTTTGCCTGAAAAAAATACTTTTATTAGTACACACAATATTAAAGATTAATTTTTATACCATAAAAAAATTAATCTTAGTTTCATTTATTTAAATTTACTAAGATCTTTTTACTAATAGTTTTCATTTAATATCAGATTTTTTCAAAGTATGAAAAATTTAAAATTATAAAACAATTTTGTGTTACTTAATAAAATTATGCTCACCTCAGAATACATTGAAACGATAGTTGACATAATTAAACAACAAATAAATGATTTTTTTGGTATTAATCCATTAAGTGGATTATAATCAGTATTTTTATATTGAGATAGAATGTAACGACCACTAAAACAATTAAATGTGATTAATACTAAACATTGTAATATTTATAATTTTTTTTTTTTACCATTGGATGATTCTAAATGTGAAATTACAACAATTTGCAAAAATAAAACCAATTCCACCAAAAAATGTTGAAAACAACAAAGAAATAAATAAAAATATCACAGATAATACAACCATTTCCACATTGTATCTAAAGTTTAAAACAAAAAATATTACACATACAATGTATAATTTTAATTAATAAAACAATTGCAAACAAACTTGTTTAATTCAGCAACATTCATGGTAGCTGCTGCATAACATTCAGTGATACCATTGACAGCTAAAAATAGAATGGCTAAAGAATGCATTTGTAACAGCACTGGTCCAATTCCAGTAGCCAATGTTGATCCTCCATAAAGAAATAATACTAGTTTGGCATATGCTTGTCCAAAGGATAGTGCAATTAGACCAATAGAACTATTGACACGTAACAGGCATTCCAAAACGCTAGCTGCTTCTTTTATGCGATTAGCATCCTAAGAAATTGTCATTATAACATTCATATATCATAAGTCAGGTACAATATTGTATACCTGTTTGATTTGTGTTTGGATTGGCACTTCTCTTTGAACAAGTTGACTAAAATAGAAGTATGCCGCTGTTTCAATGGGTTTGAATAAAAATCTAGCAGCTAATGATCCCAAATTGTTGACAACATCGTATACACCTTGTTGATCAAATTTTAATGTGTTAAAGAATGTCATTACATAACGTTCACCATCAGTCAACAGTTGTTTCATAAATCCCTGTTTCAAGAAACTCCACAACAACATAAGTAGTGGAAAATCAACACATTCTGACAACTTCTAAAATAAATTTTCATTTTACAATTTAATGTTGATTTAGACATTTAGTTAAATGTATAGACTTACTCTTCCAATAAAACTTGGAAAAAATTTCCGCATAGTTTTGAATGGAAAATCTTTTGTACTTTTTTTTGTATAATACCAAAAGTATATGTAAAATGACATTGTATATGCTATGACTGATGCAAGTTGTGCAAATGAAAATGCTAGTACAGCATTCTGACCATTCCAATATAACACCATTGTTGTATAAACAATTGTTCGGACAGCAATGTTTATTATTTCTAATACAACCTAAAATCTGTTCAGTTTTATTTACAAACAAAACAACAAAAAAGAGCCCATTTTTCGCACTAAGCTCAAAGGGATCTTTTTTAATTTCAATACAATTTGAATACTTATGTATACACTAATATATTTTTTTTAATTACCTGTAGCTTGACAAATAAGAACGCTTGCGCTATAATATATAACTGTTCACAGCATAGTTCAATGATGCAACTTATAATAATTGACCATACACCAAATTCATAGTAAGTAGTAACTGTAATTTCAGGTTGGCTTAGTAATCGAAGCCAAATATAACCACATACTCCACAAATAATGGCACATAATGGTACACTAAAAATAATATAATATATATATATGTATTATTCAAATTTTTAAAAAAAAATCAGATACTCCATACGAGAACCAAATGAGATTGATGACCTTGGGCCAATTATGATGCAAGGTATCTGTTAGACACGCACGGCGAAATGCTTCTCTGCTCAAAAACAAAATTGTCGACTCGAGTAATAATAAACGAACATTAGTAATTCCTATTTCATTTTGTGAAACATGTCGCAGCACAAAAGCATTAACAACAAATGTCAAGCATCGAAATGCAATCTAAAATTATTAAAAAAAAACAATCAATAACAGTGAAAAGTATTTTTAAATATTAAAATAATAGATATAACGTTTAAACTAACTTGCAAGAGTATGTTGAGTGAAGCGTTTTCAACGCTACTTTTCAAAAAGTTTTTCTTCATTTTAGTACTTCAGTTATCAAAATATTGTGTTCACTACATTTATCTTTTGTATATAAATTCGATAAAAATATTTTTTAAATTTTAAAAATGTAAGTACATGTTACATACATGATAATTATTTATTATTTATATAATGAACACTACTAACTGGGCAATGGAATTTTTAAAAGAACGATTTACAATTATTCATCTCACCCGATAGACAGAATTTGGTATCTCAAGTAGGAATTTGGAATTAATTTATTGGTAATTCAATTTTAAATCGAACGGACATATAGTTTACATACTGTGCGTGTACGATGTATTTTATTGGATAATTGACTACTTAATCCTGCCTTTAAAATCTTTTATACATGCCGTGAGAGTGTGAAATATAAATTGTGAAGAATCAAAAGCACAAATGATCGACGATAAATAATTCCGGAAAATGCATAAAATCCGTCGTCACTCGTCAGACCGTGAATCAGAAGTCCGAACTCTCGTTCCCACTAGTTTTGGTACTTATCAGTTATCGCTTTCTGATAAGGTGGTAACCAATGTGGATTGATATCAATCCATCTGGATGGTAACGGCCAACGGCTATTGCCACGAAAAGCGATTGCTTCGAATAATATGACAATTGACAGCGAGTTAATTTTATTATGAATAATAATATGTAAATATATTTGGGATAACGTTGGTAAACGCACTTTAAAAATGGATGTTACTAGTTGGTAGGCTATATTTTTCGGCTGTTTTGGCATACCTTAAAATCTAGTTGACTAGTTGCGCATGTTGCCATGTCATTTCATGTTAATGCAATGGTAAATTAAATTTAAAAACACATCAATAATTCGACTATTTCCGTACCAAGTGTACCTAAATAGTAAATTCTAAGTAAATAAATAATCTGTATTTCTTCTTTAAGAAGAGATCTTTTTTAATGTTAAATTAAATTTATATTGTAAATAGTTTCTATAATTGAGTAATGAAAAACGGGCACTTAACAAAAGATAAATCCCTGAGCATAATTATCAAGATTTTTTGGTTTTCCGGTAAGTTGAATTGTAAATAATTTTATTATTTTTGGGAAATCTTGTGTTGAAAATAATTAGTTTTATTTCTAAAAATCTAATACATCAGACGTACTAAATAAAAACAAAATTGAAAATCTATACAATTTTAAAACTAAACTATTTTTTATTTGCAACTTATTATTTAATATTTTCAATGATTTTGGTTTTTCTAATTGAATGACAGTACAAACAACTCACTATAGAAAGTAAAAAAAAAAAATAGATAAAACCAAAGAAATGTATATATTAACTGTATAATATTGCTCTCTGTTACCTACTTAGTAATAAGAGAATATAATTCTTTTATAATTTTTATATTTGTGGGCTTGTGGCAAATGAGAACATTCCGGTTATTCCTAATCATAAAAACCAACATCATTTGCTAATCTATGGTCAATTTGTGAGAAATTGAAAAACCTTCACCTCCTTCTAACTGAATCAATACAATATTTCTATTTGTCTAAAAAAATTGTATAAATTATTTTTAAATTAAACAATTAATACTGATCTTATTTCTTACTTACGGGGGGGGGGGGACAGAGTCAATAGTTTCGATTATATCTCTAATAATTGACATAACATCATAACTTTCTTGATAATCTGCACATTTCATATGTATCCAAAGGTATACTACAATATAAAATTTGATCAATAATTATCTTTGGTTAAATACCAAACTGCAAACATTCTTTTTCAGATATATTTGTAATCTATTACAGTAATAATTATTAATTATAATATACTATCTAGTTAAACTAGACAAACTTAATTCACGTCTATGACCTTTGTGCGTTTGACAAGTTAAGTAAATAATTATGTCAGCCAAAACTAACTCACAATAAACTGAAGGATACCTATATACCTACCAAATCTACAATTATAATAAAAGCACATACATGAGTATAACCAAGTTATAACTAAATTTATTTTATTTTTTTATTATACAAAGAGAGCGGATTCATCAAAAATGATTAATTCAAATTCTAATTTTTTATATATTTAATTTGTACTTAAGACCATTGATGGCTCGTATAGTTTACAATAGGTTGAATACAAAAATTTTACTCCAACATTATAAGTATAATGATAAAATTAAATTTACTATTTAATGTAATTAAGTACATTACGTATTACGAACAATGACAACGATAAGAACGTAAAAAATATGACTTAAGCACATTGCATTCGTGTCACGACTCACGTTTCACTGTATGATTTGTGCTGAAGTGTTGATAATTGTAATAATACCTACACGCAGTTGATCAGTGACAGAATCTTATCTATATAGTATATAATATATTATTATAAAAATTATTATTATACCCAAAAATTACTAACTCTTATTGGTCCATTAATAAATGATTATCCAAAGGTCACTAAAGGATTGTTTAACAATTGAAACCATCTAGGCTGCTTGCTATAAGGTTTGAATTCTAGTTAAGTACCATTCCACTGTCAACTACTATTCCTGAATAGTAATACGTAGCCAGTAATATGTTAAACAATCAACCTATAATCTAAGTTCAAAAACAAGTGGTTGATGAAATGGGGAGGAAAACTCGGACGCCCAAAAAAGAAAAAATGCGAATAAAAAAAATAAATATTAATTATATAAATAAAATAAGAAGTATGGAGACTACTGTAATGATATGCTCACATATCATTGTTTATTACATATACATAAAATTCAATTAAATAAATTAACGGTCAAGTTGTCGCACGCAGATTAAACCCTACAAACATCCTTTTGCCACTGACGAAAGAAAACAACTTATATTATATGATCACAAAGGAATTGACACATGAGTTGTGACAATATCTCGAAAAGCGTGTGAACCAATTTCGTTAGCCAGCGGAGGCGGGCCATGGTACAATGAAGCTCTCTGTCGTATAGAAGAAAGACTATTTCTTCGAAAAAACGCTGAGTCCTTTTTTTATGATGGCATGGCCTGCGACTCTGGCTGGCTCGACCAGGTTTTCTCCCTGCAGTGCACGAGCACCAGCCAAGCCACGAGTGCACGAGCACCAGCCAAGTCACGAGTGCATGAGCACCGGCCAAACTATCGAGTGCATGAGCACCGACAAAAATTACGAGTGCGGGTGCACCAGACAAGCGAGCAGGAGTTTTTTCCCAAAACCACCATACGACATACACACAAGACTGCGAGCGACAACTGGACTTCTTTCTTTTTCTAATTCAAATCAGTGTTGTTTTTCTTATTTAAACATAAGTTTTCCTTAAATCGTATCGTAACTTGTGTCACCTTATACCTTTCTCCGAGGAACGTATTATAAGTATTCACTGCGGCGAATCAGGTAAGGTGCATGTCTAAAATACTAATTGTTAGTACAGGTTATGTTACTATCTAATTTGTGTAATGGTGTATTTGATCACATTCTTGAATCACGATCTCGAGAACCCTCCGAAGAACGGGAGGAAGGTAATAACACGAGAACAAGCATACCCAATATTTATTAATACCGGACTTACATACAAGGCTTGTGTCCCTTGTGTCAGTCCGGCCATATCATACTTATAACTTACATCGCATCATTTTAATATTTTTATATTTATACGTTAGCTTCACCTTTTTTGTGTTATTACACTACAGTCTACATCGAATTTCTAAATCCAAAAAAATATTACTTATTATCAATTAAAAAAAAAAAGAGATTCTAACATGATTTAATTATTAAAGTTTATGATTATATTAACATTTATAATCAATAATATGATAAAATATTTATTATCTATCATCTGCACAATAGACAACGATTGAAATTAATATAATTACTTACTGATAAAAATGAGGTAGGTACGTATACATAATATTATTGTTTTACGTGTTAGGTAAACATAGGTCATAGAATATTGTTCGGCGTATAGTATAGGCAAAATAAGTACATAAGTGCAGTGTTCTATCCTATTATTGTTGATAATTATTAATCATAATATATATTTTAGCTCATCGCAATAACTCTGTTTATCGAGAGGATGGTGATTTTAAAACACTGATTTGTACAAACCAAAACACATCACACCCCGCCGCAAATATCCAAATCCCAACTTCTCAGCACTAGTTGTATGTACGAAGTAACTACATTATCTCGACGAATGGAGTATAAATAATATAGTTTAGTTATGACAAATGTATCTAATACTGTGTACACAATCAAATATGAAATTATCTGAATATAGTGAACATTTTATAACTCAACTAAGAATAAGTCTCATATCATAATATTTAAATTAAAATAAAATTTAAAAAAATCATCACATTAATTCCAAAATACTTTTGAAGTATCATTTTAAGTTAAAAATAAACTATTCACTAATTGTTAATTTTTATAATTATGAGTAAATTAAACGTATTCACATAATTCAACATTTAAGTATGTTTTTAAGACAGCATTTTAATAAATCATAAAATTTGTTCTGTTGTAAAGTAAACGTCGAGTGTACCATCGCATTCTGCAGTTGCAGGTAATTGTAATGTATAAACAATTTTCTATAAAAACAGGACAATGACATTTAATCTTATCTTCCTGTAAAGAAATAACGACGATAACTTGCGTCAAAAATTTCGGTTGAGCGTTTGCACGTGTAAAGTACAGAACCATGAAACTAGCTGCTATGATCTGCTCTTGTAACTGCAGGTAATCCAATACTATATACTTAATTCTTAATTTACTTTTGTATTTCTCAAAAGGGATAAAAGTATTGGAATAAACATATTTTTTATAATTATATTTAATTTAAGGAACATAAAAAAAAATCAAGTTTATAAATACTTTTAAACTATTTAGTCCCAAAATAAATTATTATATTTAAAAGGAACTGCGTATTAAATTTTCAAATTTTAGCTATATAAATAGAACACTATTGACACATGACATGTATTGTCAGTTATTAGACTGCTATTGGAGTCATGACTTCGCTCGTCGTGACGAAAAATCCAGATGTTGCACGAGGCGCACCCGTAAACAGAACAAATACCAAAAACAACAGAAATCGATTGAGGACCAAGGACCGATGGAATTTTTTGAGGCGAGTAGATACGCAGATAATCCGAGTGAAACGGATGCTGTGAATCCCAGCGTTGGCGTTTGCGTCACTGCGGATAAATTGTATCAAACGGATGTGAATCCCACAGCGTCGGCGTTTGCGCGTCACAGATAAATTGTGTTAAACGGAAGAGGAGGACGGACGGCAGCGGCGACAGTGGCGAGTTGTACAGCGACGACCACGACGTGCAGACTGTCGTCGGCCACGGAGTGGTCGGACGCTATTATACAACACTCTATAACAACCCGGAAGACGTTTGGGAATTGTATTCGCGGGACGCTCAATACTCGCAGGTGGACGGGGACGGCTCGCGAACCGTGGTCACAGGCCGGCCACAGTTACGCGAGCTTTTCAAAGCTGCGGGTGCGAGTGGCCACATCGCGGATGGCCATGGCGACGGTCTACCCGTGGTCGTCCGATCGATTCACATACCGTTCGGTGTGCGCCCGGCCGCAGTTTCTGGTGACGTCGACCACCGAACGGCACGTACAGTCGTTCGTGGTCCGTGTAGATGCGCGCGGGACGTCCACGGTGGTCGCGTCCACCGTGCGACGCGCGACGGCCGCCATCCGCGGACTGTCCCGGCGCCCCGACCGGCCACGCCGCCGCCGCCGACCACCAGCTACCGTCAACCGACCGTCCGCAGCCGCAGACTGTTCTCGTACGGCAACCGTCCAATGACCGTCCACCAACCGTCCCGTCCGCAACCGTCCACCAACCGCCCAAAGCCGTTCAACGACCATCAGATTTTCGTCGGACACATATTGCCGTCCACGACGTCTGAGGACTTGTCCCAGACGTTTGATCGGTTTGGGACGGTGTTGAGTGTACGTATATCAAAAGCGGTTTTGACCGGACCGGTAAACGAACCGAGTTAAACTGCGGATTAGTGTCATTCAGTGGGCCCGAGGGCGTTAATGTCGCACTTGCCGCGGAACACCGATCACGCGCTGATCAACGGCAATCGAGTCAACGTTAACAGGCCCAAACGCCGGTGGTTAGGTTAGGTTACGCTAATGCATTTTGATTCCTGATACCTCATCCTCTCATCCCTCGTCCTTCAGCCGCCGCCGTTAGGTACAGGTAATTTATTTTACTAGAATAAATTGAAATGATTAAGCTATTAATAACTATAATTTTATAGGTAACCGACGATGAAAAATTGGTATAAGAGCGAATAACCACTCTCCAACTTGAAGAGTGAAAACATCTCAACATTCAACGATCGGTAACGAAGATACTTAATGGTTCATACACTACTGTGACACTTGTCAATACGAGGCAGCGAGTTTCCGGAGCCAACACATTTGAAGAACGATTCCAGCGATAAACGTACGCAAAGAACGACGATTGAACCCGTCGAAGTAAACAGCCAGAACGAAGCGATAATCGACGACAAGGACGCCGTAGCGAAGTCAATAAAATCGATTAATTACTGCTGACGCACCTCCGGGCAACAATGGGCAGCCGACTACCAGCGGCTTTACACGCGGTTGTCACTGTCCTTTGCCGCCGGTCACGCAGTGTCTCTCGTGGTTGCGACAGCGATCGACAATCGATCTACCATTCCGATTCACCATAAAACAAAGTCCTTTTTAACACTATATTAACCAAGTCCCGCACCCGCTCGACGCGCCTGTTCAGGCGTTCGCTCCGAGCCGCTCAACCTGACCACGACTTACATAAGACCGCGGAAAGGTATTGCGGACTCATTCCTATTGTATATAATTCTATGATAAGTGTCTCACATATTCTATCATATAGTCGCGCCTCTACAGTTCCAACACCGTTTGTCGCGGCTCGGATTAAATTTACCCTCCACACATTGTTATGTTAATCAGTTTATGATATTGAAAAATAAACTTCCTACATGATACCATAAATTGGTATTATAAATAATTTATAAAGGTAGGTCGCCGAATACCAGCGTAGGTATCGTATCATATTATTGCAGATATCATTTGACATTGCACCACTTTAAATTACTAAAATAATTATTTAACACGATGAAATATTAAAAAAAAAAAACGTTTATGATAGAACATAGAACTTAAATGTAATATAATCAGTTTATTTGGATTTTAGAATAATACTAAATCTAAATTTATAAATTGAATGGAAAGTTCGTCATGAGTTGTTCATATACCAATTAAAAAAAACGTAAGCAAGCGCGGCTATACCAATTTGCTGTATATTATAAGTCAAGTGGATTACAGTTTTAGGCATGTTTAACTTGAATTTTCAAGTCCACATTTTCATAGACTTCTAATAGGTGTGAGTGGTATAATAATTAATAATCGCACAGTAGCCAGTAGGTACGTAACATTTAAACGGAAAATTTCACAAATTTTAGACGCGAAAAATAAAGTTTTTAATTTTAAATAAGTATACTATTAGGCATTTTAAGAAAATCACTTTATTTTGTTATAGGTATTATAATCCTCATTTGTAGTTATAAACTATATTATATTATAGTATTATAAAAAACGTACAAATGTGTACCTACGTTTACACGTAAAAATAATGTTAACGTACCTATATAGGTACTATTTTGTATATAATAATGGTGTACCTATATCGGATGTATGATTAGAAATATATGATCAAAACTAGAAGATTGGTAATATATTAATACGCATCATTAAATTGTACCGTGACGTCGCGACATACACTTTACATACTAATTAAATTTATTATACCAGATATGTTTTAAATTTAAATATTTAATTGTAAAACTGTAAGTAATGTTTTAATAAGCGCAAATTAATAAACTAAAATAAGAATAAAAAGTAAAAACTGTACGATACATCATATATTATTATAAATGTAGAACCACGATTACTGTTACAGAGATTTCCTGTCATCTGTATTTATTGTGTATAATGTACAGAATAATCGCAATCACGGTATGTCACGGAGTCATGCGGGAACAGACTTGAGACTTGTGTAGACTCCATATTACCGCTGCAGAGTCATTGCTTTTTTGCTGTCCTTGTATATCAATAATTAAACTTAGGATTTGTTTTTTATTTTTTTATTTTTATCAATTGAATAGATATAATCATTAATACAAAATAGTATTTGTCAGCTGTTACTAAAATCATGCCTTCGCCAACATAAAACGTATAAATAAACAAACATTAATTGTTTTTCTTATAACATCAATACCAAATTTGATATTAGGTATACATTCTTATAGGATACGAGTTAGTGCTTATCATTCACTGAAGAAAATATTTACCTCATAAAGTTTATTCGATATTGTATATTACGTATAAAAGTATATATATATATATATATTATGTGTGTGTGTATGTGTGTATAAATTCCTTATAATTTTATTTTAAACATTACATCGTTGTATTATTATAATTTTAAAAAATATTTGATATAAATATGTTTAATAATTTGAATTGTTTAATACAGTAATACATATTATATTATACATTGTGTTTTACTACTACATAATTAACTTACAGTATCGAATAGCAGTTTTGATTATGCACAGAAAAACATTTCGTTGCATTGATTTTGCGATGGATACTTGCAATCCAGCTGATTAATAAAAGCTAATTTGTGGATATCCATATTAATTCTCTTCATGTGCTGTACTATTTGGGTCCAGATGGTAGCTTTACCAGGAGTTTTATTACGGCACCATATAACTGTTAACGTTTGGCCCGAATTACTGCCTTCAACTAGAATAAAAATAAAAAAATAATTAAGTGCGATAGCTATTAAGTTGTAACTATTGACGTCTTATCTAGCGAAGTAATGAATAATTTGAATCTCGTAAATATGTTGGTTATAGGTACTAAACGCATATTTTTTCAGTGCTTATAGATTAAAAACTAGTAATGAAGTATTAAAAAAATGTATTTTAGAAAATAATAAAATTACTCAAAGTTTAAAGTAATTTATAAAATTAGAAGACTTATATCTATACTGGTTATACGTAATATATTCTAATATAGCCAATAATAACTTAATTATCTGTTACAGTGATAATATTACGAAAATAATATAATCTGATATTAAATTATTATAATTTAGTAATTATACAGCTTAAATAGTCGTTTAAGTACTAAGTCTTACTTATGGGCATTGAGGTGATCATATAACCATATTGGAGACTAGATGCGATAATGGTCATTTTATACCTCAAAAAAACTAAAATTGGTTATACATAATTAATTAGCTCATTATTTTTGTTAAAAAATGGTTATATTTTTATGTTAAATTATATCCTGGTTAACTTATGTAAGTACTTACATTTACATCCATTTACCTTTTCAGTAATACTGCATTCCGATTGTGATATTACGCTCAATGACGTTGAAGCTCCTAAAGAATAAATTATCATCTATTATCATAGTTCTACTTTTCACACGAAAATCTATTTTTGATAAAGAATTAGTAAAAATATTTTAAAACTTAATTCGAGTCAAGTCTCTTCTGATAAAATAAACAATATGAATAAGGTACCTTAAATGATATTATTGTGTTGTGAACTACCGTTTTTGCGACATACAACGTGCTATCAATTAAACTAGAAGTCCAAATACGTAACAAGAATTGACAGTTACTGAGTTATCTATGTAAAATCACATTTATTTTGAAAAAAGATATATTGACCTATTGGTCATCTGGAGCTTATCTAACGAAAAGGGGGTGAGAGCCGAGAGGTGTACTTAATAAATAAAAATATATAATACGTTAAAATAAGTATAGGAGCGATCGATATTCTACCCCACGCAACCGCCCCTACCCCTCTTTCAGTGTAATTATACATCTATTAACGTATACGTCGTATACAATGTAAAATAATATTATAATATACGTATGTTTATTGCTTACGGCTGTAAATGAAACCTTGAATTTCTTTTACATTATTGGGCGACGCGCACGACGCACCTCCCAAATCGACTGTTAATTTAGAAGTCCTGAACATAATAATAGTACGTGAAAACGTAAGACAATATAATATAAAAACAAATAGTTTGTATATTTTAATTAATAATAATAAGCGAATTATAATTTACAAAAAATTCAGCTGTTTTGTAATATATTTTTATAACTTTTTGGCTCGTGAAAAACAACTTACTCGATGTTAACTGCACTCATGTACACTAGCCAGCTACTGTTCTGGAGATTAATAAAGTTTGCTAGTATACAAGAGCATGGCTTTTGATTATCTGTTTATGAAACAAAATAAGCTACATTTTAAAGTTTAAATATACTATGCTGATTATTATTAAAATAATATCGTGTAATTAGTCATTAACACATTACTATAACACGTTTAACACAAAATAAATTTATAATCGGAACTACTTTCAAAGTTTAAAATCAAAGCATTTTTACTCTCTCTAAAAGTGATGGCAGACAAAAAAATGATGAGATATTATAGTGACCAGTAGATTGAAGTCTGTAAACAATAACACTATTTTAAGTTCGATGAAAAATATCTTAAATGTATCCCTATTATCGAAGCGTAAAAGTATATTTTATGATTCGTGGTAGTGGTAATTTTAATCGATATAAACGGTTCAATACTAATCAAAACATCGTTAATGTGTTATAATATTTAATATTATCTCAATACTCTAATATCATATTGTTAAAATAAATATAAAATGATAATTGATAAACACTGCTATTGAACTTTATTTTAATTGGTAGAAAAGTTAAAACCCTGTTCTCTGCAGTTATTATGTCATAAACATAATATTATATAAAATTAAAATGTGTAAAATAAATGGGTGTTATAAATGTATTTAACAAAATCGTACTTGAGAAAATGCTACAGTCTTGACCGTCGGTGCATCCAGTCGACATAACTGCATACCACCTGCCACTGATCTAAAAAAATTACAAAAGCTAAGAATATTACACTCTTAGACACTACAGAGCAAAATAATAGGAACTTTAATTATTTTTACAGATATTAAATGTTTATTGAGTAATTATTTAAAAAAAAATAATAATTTAGAAGACAATCCTAAATAAATTTAATAATTGATTGAATTTAAAAATAAATTATTGTTATTTCTTGTACCTATAAAGTTAAATATTATTAAAAATAATTTAATTGATTCATTATTTATTAATTATTATACTTACAAAGTTACAGAGATAATTATATACTTAATTTATAATTATATATTAATATATACCTAGTAGCAATTAAGAAAATATTTAAATTTAAATGTTCCTCAAAACAAGTAAATTATTTAACTCTTTATAAATATATATATTATATCAACAATTAAGACCAAAAATGGCTTTAACATTGTTTTGTACACTTTTAAGTGTTGTACTAGTCATCTCTCATTCAATAAATATAATCACGCACTTCATTTTAGAAGATTGGTGGTAAGTATTCGGCGTACCTACCAACACTTCAAAATATAGTATAATGAAATTAATTTAACAATACATTACATCTGTAACTTCTTCTTCTTGCGGTGCATAGTTTCCATTAACGCCGTAAAAACATTGTCCACCCAAGAATATTAAAACCACCGAAAATATTGAAAACTGACTCGACATTATTTAATTTTTTTTTAATGACAATTGTTTGGTAATTTGCTTAATTCAAAACAAAAATTTATACATATTATAATAAACTATATAATCATGATCTCAAATTTCCAATGACTAAACTGTGTGTGGTTTGAACAGTTGCATAGGATTGTGTATTTAGATCGTTAAAATATTAAATTATACAATTTTTTTGTTTAAACAGATGCGTGATTTCAAATTGTATTTTATTCAATTTAAAATTATGTATATTAAAACGCAAAAACATTCCATAATTTAAAATAGATTAGCTATCTAGTTGTTTTTCATTTTAATTATTTCAAAAACAAATATTTAACTTGTCAACGTTATAGATTACTTTTTTACTTCTTTACCGATTTTTAAACAATAATAATCGTAATTAATTTAAAAAATGGAGAATTAAATTTATTAACAACAATTTAATGCAGTTGTTTTTATTAAAGTAATATTTTAATAATTACAATTTGCACTAGCATAGCTGTATAATGTTTATATTAAATAAAATAAACTTTATTCTAAATGTCAAAGAATAAAACTCAAGAGAGTAATCTATTATATTCAATTTTTCAATCTAAAATTATTAAAATTGATTGCAAATATTCGCGATTTTAATACATTTTGTAAAAATTTGAACTTTAATTGTAACTTTATGATTTTTTTAGCAGTAGTATGACGAGCAACTTATGAAAAACCTTACGATGTTTAACTATATCTCCACAGGTCGGATTGCTTATCGGCTTTAGTAGATCTACTTAACGTAAATGGCCAAACAAATGACAATCTTTATACATTTTAATATTTCCTAATTTTTAGGGAAATTATATTCTCTTGTCGTAATATGTCATTTCCCTTATTAATGTTTTTTGACAGTTGACCGTTAGGAAAATATTATAAATTTACATTTATAAAAATTAAAAATAAATCCTCCCCTACTTAGTTGAAACCATTGTATGCATCCATAGTTCGACCGACTCAAATATCTTCACTAGGGCTCGGAATTTATCTATTTGTATGTTTTTTAAATAGTCCAAAAAAAGCTAGATAAGCTACAAGGTTGAATTATAGTTAATAGATTTGAAATACCAAGTTTTATTTTGCATATTTGGACATGTATCTACAGTATATTTGCGTATTTTACGATTTTTCTTTACATATTAACGGAACGATTTTTTAATGCATAATTTAATATTTTGATTATATTAATTGAACAACGTACCTATTTACAGTCAATAGAATTTACGAATTACCTTATCTCAGCTGATATGTTATGTTAGTTTGATAATATAGACAATCTGTTGTTGAATAAGTTTTCGTGAATCATATTTTAGCCGCGTTTCTTTGTGTTATCGTGATCCGGGTGAGCGTAATTTTTTTCATTCAATTTTATTTATATTTAAAATATCAAAAATGAATACAATTAGACACGAATAATAAGCTAAACAAATTTGTTGCCAATTATTAAGGAGTTTTTTTTCTACAGATGACTAAAATATTTAAAATGTAACGTCAAAGTGAATGGAGAAAAACGTTTTACGGTTAACTGGAAAGCTCAAAAGTTCAGTTGCACGTACTAATTCATTAGAAAAAAATCTAATATTAATATATAACTTGTACATTCCATATTAAAATTTGACCAGGACGTACCGTCCGTCCGTTTACCATGACAAAGTTGTACGTATTTATTATATTAAGGATTTACTTATTATTTAACTTTTTAAAACCAATACATTTCCAACAGATCGGGAATTTATCGTTTAAAAAAATTTGTTACGGTCAACTACAGTCACAATACGATCACGTGGAGACCTTTCGTAAAACGTCGTGTATTTTTTTCAATGCGATCAACGTTATTTTGTGCGGGACTACAACAAATAACAACACATGTGTGTATCATACATCTATACTAAAGTAATGCATTGGTTTCTTTTCAATGTACCTATTAAATCTGCGTATCGGTCGGTCAATTCTTAGAATTTTGACTGTATATACACTCGTGTACTACCCCGCATATACAGGTAGTTTGGTCTATACAACCACTTTTCATTGTACGTCGAAAATTTTAAACGTATTTTTTTGCTAGCAGCGAGTGTATCAAACATGTATATTTTACTTAATATATATATATATAGTAGACGTATATAATAATGTAATGTTACAATACAATGTGTCCGAGAGGAGAGAACAAACCGGATGTGTTTTTATGCTGCATCCGCAGTACCCAAACTGTGTGCTATACACATCATAATATGCGTATAATAATATATAAATGGTATGGTACAGGGGTGGCTAAACTTATTTTTTAATAAAGATATCTACCGAAAATATATTTTTCTTTCGAGGAGAAAATATGACGTAGAACTAAAGTCGACAGTGGCACGGCGATTTATTAACGAGTTACCAAGTGTATGGACAATAAATTCTTACAGAGCGGAATCGACTTTTAAATCGTCTATAATCGATGTTTAGCCACCCATGGTATACTGAATTACTTAAAATCTGTACACATTATACAATTTATTATCTAATTAGAATGGATAAATAATATTTAAAAATGTTTTTTTTTCATTTTAATAGATTATAATTACTTACACAAACCAATATATTCAGGAAAATTCGGATTTAATTACATGCGCAGTGTGCACATACAAAATTCTAATAGGTACTAACATTGGTATATTTAAAACTAAAACTATAAAATTAAAAATATGATTTTTTTTAAACACCATTAATAACAGCAAGTAAGACATTTTAAAAGGTTCAAGTTTCAAATTGTTAACAATATAATAATACGTTTTAATAGATATATTATTAAAATAATTTGTTCGACGATTTTTTTTCAACATACATTATGGTACCTTATTCAACTGTGGGATTTTCTAACATAACACTCGCACAGTGAATAAGTTACCTTGATGTATGGCAAAACAAATAATAAGAGCTAGCCTAAAAAAATCATTAAAAAAAATTAAAAATTCAAGTTTTAATAGATATTTAACAGTACCTAAAGGAAAATAGTAAAATAAACATTATTAAACATATTATTAATTAGATACTACATTAAGTATATCACAAACATGAAATTGTTTTGCTCTATAAAAAAAATAATAATAAACGTACAATAAAATAATATAATTAAAATACTGTTTTTACAGTATGAGAAATAAATATTGAAGTTTTCTTATGAAATTCCGAAGGTAACATTAACATCTTTAGATTTCCATAAAAAGGCTAAAGACGTATGTGTTACCAAGAGGAATCTTTCACAAACAATAAATATACCTTCGGACGTAGATTGATCAAAGTCTAGTATTCTGAAATTCAAAATAGCTGGTATACATAACAATTTTATCCGGCTCTATTAAATCCCAAAGAATACTAAACCCTGCTGTGGCCGTGTACGTGTAGTCAAGTTTTCACAAAATATCCAAGGTATTGGGTAATGGATACAGAAATCTCTTGGAATATTAATAATTAACTAATCCCACAGAAAATCCGTATTCCGTTACCTCGAATTCAATACATTTGAAAAAGTAAAAACAATTCGTTGATTACATGATGCATCATAGAGTAGTAAACATCTTTAGCAGAATTTAATTTGTATGACTAGCGAAAAATGTTTAGACTACCCGAATGATAGCTCATAACTTCAGCTGTGCACGCCTATATATTTTATATAATATTAAAATATAAAAATTAAATATTAAAATTAATATGCACCTGAACGTTTATAGGTGTTCTAAAGTAATTTTATGTATCTAATAAACTTTGTAAGACAGTAAACTGATAATATTAATTTTAAACAATAACTAAATGTTTCTATTTCAATTTAATAATAAAATGTAAAAGTTTAAAACAAATCGGGTTTGAATAATTATGCAATTCATAGTAATGCAATACATTCATGTGTAAAATAAAAATATATTATCTAATGGTGAATTGCTAAATATAATTGTATTTATGATATAAAATTAAATAATATATATATACATAATTATTGTGAATACTGCAGTTACCATCAATCGAAAGTATAAACTCTAGTCACAACTTTAAAATTCAATGTTACTAAGAGTTATACTAACAGTCGATGATCACCTCTATATAATATATGTATTATTTAATAGTATTATTACAATACAATATATTCTACTACATTACTCTTTATAATAAACATTTATTTTTTTTTTTAACTATACGTTAATAAATCGATAAAAAAAAAAAACAATGTTATAAAATATTATATAAATAATTCAAATTACCTTAACGATCCCCATGGAGACAAATTCAGGATATTAAATAACTCGTCTCTCGACACCAGTACTAAAATAATCGGTTTCTTCAGTTTAGAACAAGATCTTATACTGACCCTAACGCAAAGAGAGTGTGGGCGCGCGTTTAGCCTTTGTATTGTGCGTAGAAGGTCAGTCGATCGAGAAGGGATGATGATGCTATACCGGCTACCTGTTTGCGCCAATGGTCGTTTTCATTCGATTCCATAGAAATATGTCGAAAACAAAATCATGTGGTTTTACTAACACGATATAACATGACATTACGTTTAATATAATATGGTTCTTATTTCTTAATCATTTTGTACTATATTATACGTAAACCACATGCATATAAATGTGCAATATACATTTATATATGCATGTTTTAATTTATAATATATATTTCAATATTTCATCCATATTATTTACCGCGCGGGCTATAAAAAATATCTTTAGTTTTCAAACACTGTTATATGTTAGATATCGTGTAAAAATTCAAATTTAAAATTTGTACAATTTTATTGGCATAGTTTTCTGAAATTTGGTCTCTTTAATACTTCAAGTAGTTCATTGAAATTCGATATCGTATATTTTAAGAGCTGATTGACAAACATTAATAGTTTAATTTAAAATTTAAATATTTATCACAATAACAATTATAAATTGATTTAACTTATCAGTTTTTATTGCACCCATTTACATAAAATATAATAATATAGTATAGTATTGGAAGTTTTATATATATTATGTAATTGTTATTTAATTTTATTTTAACTCGTTACTTTCGTATAATTTTTACTTTTGAACTATTTAATTATAACTTTAAATTAATTAAACGAGTTTTTGGTCTTGAAAAGTGTATCATTTATAATTTTAATTATTTATACTGTTTAGTGTTTTCTCAGTATATGTATATTATTGTATATCTCAATAATCCATCTATATAATTCATAAACCATACATATTTTAAAGTTTAAATTGCAATAATATCCAAAATATATCAATTATCAAATATAGGCGCAAGTTAATTTCGTGTTTCTATTAGTTTTGTTTAATGGTTATAAACAGTAAACAGGAAAGTGTTAAAAGCGAACTGCATTAATAATTATTAATTATATACTTAAAATCGTTCTCAATACAAATAAATTCATTCATTGGGGTTTTTACATATTATATTAAAATGTATTATTCCAACCATAAAATACTTTTGAAATTTTCAAATGGGTAGAAAATTTAATATCGTGATGTTTAATTTTATACTACATATACAAAATATTTTACAGAATGCAAAGAGGTACCTTTTATAACATATAGATACTTATTATATTACATGGATATTTTATGGTAGGTTCCAAATACCATGAACCCACACCCTATTACTATAATTCACCATGAAAAATTCAATTGTATAGTTACTATACATAATATATAGTGACAATAAAGCCGTATGGTATCTGCAATATTGGGTAAAAACTCAAAATTTGTGTTTTGGAATCACAGTGAAACAGAATATATGGTGTATTGGTATTGGAGGGAGTATTTGACGCGTGTAATATATATAGGTACGTTACATATTTTATATATTACCTATATACACTGTCAGGTGTTCACAATTCAAACAGGTACTTCTAAATACTGTGTATACTGTACAACAGCATGTGCAATGCTCTTTATTGGCATAATCTGTTAACAAAATAAATATTTCAGTTATATTTACAAAAATAAAATATTTATAGGTAGGTACATTGAAAGATAATTACTATTCATTTTTTTTTTAATTCTGTCACACATTTTATTTAAATCATACCTATTTATGTTTAATAATTAATTAGTACTTCTCACTGTTTAAACAAATACAAATTAAATATTACCAATATTGATTGAAGTGCAATAGATGATTTATTATTAATTCACACATTTGACATACAAGCTAATAAAATAATTAGATTTGTATTTTTTAATAAAATGATTATTTGATTTAACTTATAGAGAAAATTTAACAAAACAAAACTAATACCATTTTACATTTTGTATTTTTTTTATTATTATTACTATGATATAGTCATATATACAATATATATACATTTATGAAAGAAAAGTTTCAAAAATATAATACTTTTAATGTCAGTATTTAAATAACTTCACTTATTTATAGTAAACTATAAGAACACAATATGATATCGGTATAATTTTTAAACGGTTTTATTAGGTGTAACCTAAATTATATTAAAGGTAAACTAATATTAATAATATTGTGATTAAAGTTAAGTAAAAATATATCAGAAGTTAACTTATTTAATAATATTAAATTATACGTACGTATGTTATGTATTTCATTTTATGTACAAAGAAACGGAGGTCATAAAAGATCTGTCAACCGCTGCAAATTTGGTCCAATTCAGTGTTTAATTGACACTTTTAAATAGCAATTAAATTAAAACTACATTCGTTTCGAGGTTCATTTGTATTGTCTAAAAAAAAATATATGAATAATTATATAAGGGTATTCTTGAAAATAAATAGCAAATATATTATGATATATAAACATATAGTTATTAAGTACACTTTTTTTAGGTAGGTATATTGTAATTACCCGAGTATCATAAATAGATAACTTTTCACATCAAAGCCTTCTGTAAGTTTGTCTTATGGTCATAATGTGTAATATAGTTTAAATATGCAATTTAGTCCAAATCTGAGCTTAAAATATCCATAAAAAATAATACTTATTTACTATTTTAGATTTTTTGGTTTCAGTATGAACTATATTTATAATAAGGAAGTCTGTATGCAATTTGGTGCTTGGAAAAGTATAAAAAAAATAATAATAATAATAATCAAATTTTAATAAAAAAAATACACCTCTTTATTTAATACAAATAATTAATTTTTATACAATATTATGTAGTTAACCATTTGTTTTTACTTATCATAGTGCATAAAGGTAGATCATTATAATCCTTATAGTATTACTTTATAATTATCGATATCTTATTACATATTTAATAGTAGTAAATAATAATTGTCAATATACGCATGCCATTTTTCTAATTATTACATAAAAAGCTATTATATACAATAATGTAATAAATAATACATAGTTCGGTACCTATTTTTATCTTAATAGTACCACAGACAATATGTTCTATGATTAAAATATCATCTATATATATATGTATGTAAAGATATAAGATGTCAATAATTTTTACACACATACATACACCAACAAACTACGTTAACCTAGAATTTCCCGTAACACATAAAAATATAATCCTAATAATTACAATTATAATGAAAATTGCAATTAGAATTAATACCTAATAAAATAAACGAATTTGATTCTTTTTCATTGATTCATAAAATTTACAAGCCTTAGTTACAAAAAAATAGCCTATTTATAAATTTTCAGCTGTGAAACAATTTGTAAATTTTTGAGATTTTTTTATAATTTGAACTCAAATGCTTATAAAAATAATAAATTGCACCTATGAATTTTAAATATTTATAAGAAAACTTTATGTGGGATCTTATATTGAATTTTTAATCTTTTTGATCAAACAAATAATTTGTTATCAACGTTTATAGAAATATATAGAAATAAAAACTTAAAATTGAAAATGGCTATAAATAACTTATAGTCAAAATATTTTTTTAAATTTTATCATGTGAAGAAAATGATATGAGTAATTTAAAAATTTCAAGTATTGATTGCTATGAGTTTTAGAATTATAAAATTTTTTTCCAAAAACTTGTTTGAACGTAAAATTTTCTTTTTTCCATACAGTTTTGTTGTCTTTTCAATTATTCTATAACACACTGATAATTTTAAATTTTAACCTTTTCAGGGTATCAACTAGATCCCATTTTCTATCCAAAACCACCCTCAATGTTGAAACTCGAACCATTTTTTCATCACTCATCGTAAAAACTCTCAATGTCAGAAAAAAAAAAAAAAACAGTGTTGTAAAATCAATACATTCATCACTTCGCTTAGAATCTAAAACAAGGGCTTTCAACATTTTAATTTTTTTTCATTGAAATTGCATCCTTGCTTACATTAGTAGTTTTTAATACATAAGGGTAGACAATTATATTTTTTGTCATACTATTCTATGGTTGATGAGGTAAACACGTAGACATATATTTTGTAAAATCTCAGCTTTGGTCTTGGTAAAATAGTAAAGGTAACGCGCTGTGAGACTATTTAAAATTCATAAATAATTATCAAGTAGGTATTTTAGTTGGTCTAGGCAACATCCAAACATATGTCAAATTTTTCAACTCCTTTCTTAATACATATTTTTGCAGTTATAATCTGATACACCTATTGACTATTACTTAATATTAGTTTATTCGTTGATTCTAATCCTAGTTATACACCAATAACTGATGATGTCATCTATACTAAAATGTTAATTACACTATATCATACTGTAATTATTTTAACGATTAATATTTGTACCATAAATTTATTTATTATTTTTATCCATGTATTATCCATTTACTAAATTATAATTATTACTGTAATATTTTTTAATATTTTCTCTATACCTATTTAAAAGTTACTATACATAATACTAAAATACACTACCTGCTATACTTATATTAATATAACATTATATCTATATATTTCTTTATTTACTTTAATTCTGTAGGTATGTATATATTATTAAATTACATTGTAAATTGGAATACATTTCCGTTAATAGATTTAATTATCATGAATTATCTTCGTTTCTTTTGTTGTAATTAGTATTTATAGTATTAAATATAATATGTAATGTATTGGTTAGTTTGAACTAATAATAATCAATTATATGTTTATATACAGCTAAAATATTATTATTATCATAAAATTATTTAAAGTTTAGATAAGAAATGTGCCGGGGAATACCCTGTGCAATTGTGATACATATAGCTGCTAACAAGTAACAATATAAAAGGTAAGCTTCACTAACTATTATTATTATTTGAATAGGTACTTAAATGAACCAATACACTGTCAGATTAAATGAGCTGAGTAAATTATTAAAATTTGAAGCCTCTAATTCAACTTATAATTTAAAACTTAGTATTTTAATTACACTTTAACAAATGGCACAATTTAAATAATTTTAATGTATGTCGTGTGATAATAATAAATGGGAAAAGATATTTTTAATTACTCCATAATTAAAAAAAAAATTTATTCAATATAAACTTAAATCAAGCTCATCGTCAATTTAAAATGTCAAAGTGTAACCCTCGAGTTTCTTTTTTTTCACGTAGTCATGTAAATACATTAATATTCAGCTTATTATACTCACAATATGTTTATAATAAAAACTTTTAAATATTGTACATACTTCAATAACACAAATAAAAATATTTCAGAAATTTAAATTGATCGCTGTAATAGTGTAGTCAGACAAATAGAAGTAATCAACATTTAAGAACCACATTAACGTGTATTCACAGTACAACGTATCTCGTTTAGTATATTAAAAAATAGTTGCTTCAAACCCTATAATAAGGTTACTACAATATATTAAATAATTAATACGTAGGTGACAAAACGTTCGTAACTAGTCTTCAAGTTAATACTACACGACACAGACGAACATAGTAAGAACCGACTTAACAATAACGTTATACCGATGCAATTGATGTTAAGTTATAACTTATACTACACACGTATAACTAAATTTATTAATGTATAACATTTTCAGATTTATTTTACTCTTACCTACATACGTCCATCAGCCATTTCAATAATCCTAGTCGGTGTTCGAGATCGTCTTAGAACAGTTGTAACCATCGAATACTGCACAGTGCATACTGAATAAATGTAACGTGAGTGCGACTGGTCGCAGAGTCAAAAGACCACTCTCGTCGCTTATCTGGACTGGTTTTTGCGGATAAGTAAATAATATTTTGATCGCTATATTGTATACTATTACATAGGTAGACAGACACACACAACTATATCATAGCAATTGATCGGCATCTTCGATAATAATTGATAGGAATATCATCGTAAAACCGTACGCTCATGTCTTGATGAAAAAAGATATAAAAATAAGATAATATATTTATGCATTGTTTAGTCTTGGAAAATATACTATTGTATATTTTTTTTTCTTAAAATAATTTGATTTTACAAGTAAATGTATAACCTAATAAATTGAAATTTTCAAGTGAAGAAATATCCACAAAATCAATCCAATTTATATATAAAATAAAATTTTGTGTATAAACTCGAATAACGTATGACCAAATTAATATTACAGAGGTAGGTATAAATGTGCTTTCAAAAAAAAACATTTTCTCCTTCAATAATGTAGATTGTAGTTATTAAAAATCTGATTTTTGTACTTTTTTAACATACCTACTTAATAAAAACAATATTTATAAATTCTTGAGATATTTTGTGCTACTTAAGCCTTGAGGAATATCCTGCGGAGATACAAATTCTGTTTTTCAAATGAAAATAACTACCATTTTATACAATTAATTGTTTAGTGGATGAAAATTTTAATGTATTTGAACGAATAGTTTTAAAATTATTTAACTTTGTATACTAATTATAATAAATCTATTTATCTATGATAATAAGTCTGAGAAATATGGGGCTATACTGCTATAGTAATTTGAAAATTTTAATTTTGTTTATAATAATCTATCAGTATCGATATTTTCTAAAAAATGGTTTACATATAATAACTAGATCTGAATTCATATATTTTATATATTTTCTTAAACCTATTGTTAATGACGTAATATCCTTAAAATAAACATTTAAAAAACTAAAAATATTTTCGTTCAAATTTTAAACTAGGCATATTAAAATTAAAAAATAAATATTAATTTAATTTGTATTTAGGTACACAAAGTGTGTGTATATCGTATATCATAATTAATATCTATATATACCCAGTGCTTACTAAATACTAAATAGGTCCTAGTCATACTTATAACTTTATAAGTTATTGGATTAGAATCTTGATTCTTGAAACACGTTGAGATTTCGAAAATGGACGATAATTAATATTCATCAATACATTATCCAATTTAGAAATTTTTTTCTCGTCAAATTTTGGTGTCACGTCAATTCATCGCGGCTAAATGCATCGTGCGTCAAAATTCACCGTAGTCATTTTATCGCAACGTCAATTAATCGCGTTATAATTTATAAGTCAATCGCGCGACAATTTATCGCGTGTTATCGTATTTTATTAATTTCTGAACTTTGCCAATGTTAGCCTCAGTCTTATGGTTATGACAATCGTCAAATTGTCATTTTAATTTTTAATCGTCGTGTATTTATCGAGTAAACTTATTTATTATTGTTTGTTTTTTAATAAAATTATTCTATTATAGCTTTTCAAATGTTAAAAATTGAGAAAGAGAAAGGTATGCTATGCTACGATAGCTATATTTTTTTTAAAGAAAAGGAAAATGATACTAAGTCCATGTGGAAATTTAATCAATATTATAAAAATAAATATTACGGACAACTTCACCCTAGCGAAGGAAAAATATTAAAAAATATTGACCAATGACCATAATCACGTTTTGAGTTTATCAGACGTTGAGGTAAAAAAACACTTAATAATCTATCAGAAGATGTAGCCAGTAATAGGTAATAGGTTTAGCACTTCCATAATCAAATCCCTAATGAATCGTCTGGGCAGTTACCTATTATGAATAGACTAAAACGTACCTACTATTCAACGTATACCTAATAGTAAGCAAAAATTAAAGTTGCCTGATGGCTAAACCGATTTAAATTTTGTCATTTGACGAAATGACAAAAACCATAGATGGAAATCTTTTTTTGCAATATGATAGTGGTATTAATACTAAACGAATTTTAATTTTTTCAACATGTTTATTGTTTATTGAGTCTTATAGGCTTATAGCACAATGCGACAATTGGTTTTGTGATGACGCATTATCTAGTTCTCCATTATTATTTTACCAATTTTATATAATTCATACTGTTCAGTATTCTAATGTGTTGCTTATAATTTTTAATTGCAATTGTAAATGTTGTAAATAATGTATATTATGTAAACTATACAATATTTATTGTGATTACTGATTAATGGTTTTTGATTCTTTTGTGATTATTTAAATAAATAATAATTATTTAATAAATATTTGATGACATTTTGCGATAAATTGAAGTGCGGTGAATTGACCGCGATCATTTGACTTGTGATGAATTTAGCCGCGGTGAATTGACGTACATCCGAAATTTTTGCGAAATTGTAAAATTAGCGGAAATAGTATGAATAATATTACGAATACATCTCTCTTGTTATTAACTTTAAAATATGTATTACTGTATTAGACATTTTTTTCAATATCAATGTAGTCAATGTAGGTATTTATTATACTTACCAGTTACCAGGAATTAATTCACACTGTTTTTGTTATTATTAACTACATAGTAATATTATAATGTGCGATTAATAAATTAGTTCAACTTATCGTAAAACAATATAAATTTATAATAAAATATCACTAAGAAAAATATACTACGATGGCTGTAGTGCTGACGATAGTGCAAAGATCTCCACGTCTGTTTTTAGACTTTTCGTATTACAATTTACAACGGTTAATGAATGATGGATTTATCGGTGAATTTAAATTTGACGCATTCTTGATACGGTTAGTGGTTACCTATTCTCAATCAGTGTGGTAATACTGGAAAGAAAAATTACTTGTGTTTCAATTTTTTTTTTTTTTTTTAACTATTTGACAAGTTTACATATATCAACATTTTTTGTAATGAATTATAATATTATGATATACTTAATAGACAATGTATATGTACCTACTAATCTAAATGTATATAAGTAATAAGTATATGTACAACAAATTAAAAATTATAATCAAATAAATAAATAATATAATTAAAATATACGTAATAATACTAGCTACAAACCGATTAAGAAATGGATGAAGCTGATTCTTTAATATACACTTGGTCATTAAAACATAATTTAAAGATTAAAGTTAAATTTGTAAATTAAAAGCATAATCTAATTTAAATATACATTTATATCTAAATTAGTAAATAATTATTTTTCAATTTATCTAAAACGTTACTTGGGATATAGTTTTGATCATTAAATTATTGTTTATTATTATTATTTAATGTATGTTTATGAATTATGGGGGTTATATCTATACTTTGTGATATTTCTCTGTATTTGCACGATATCTTACATTCTTACGTGTAGATTAGTTTAGTACCTGTATGGTCTAGGTACTAGAGCGGGTACAGTTTTCCCGAAAAAATTTGATTTGGTGATATCTCGCTGTTATCAAAATCGGGAAAACTGTATCAGCCCCTTAGGTACTCATGGAAAAATGTTAATACAGTATTAATAATACTTCTTCTAGTATTTAAAATTGTATTTCATTATATTTTAATTTTGTTATAGTAGGTACCTATCTTGTATGTTGTCACTTGTCAGTTTGTCGGAATATTTTGTATCAAATAAGTGTATAGGTAATTTAAAATGCGGATATACCTATGACGAATGGAATTGCTCATTTTAAAATATTATTAAAAATTAATTTTGAAGAATCATTTCCTGAAATGTCTGCAATATTTTATAATGGCATTCAATTTTGACAACAAAAATAAATTATTAAAAGAAATCGGGTGTGTAAAATTTTACAAGGATTTTTAGAAAACTTCATTCTTATTTTATTTAACGTATAAATCAATGTAACTATAAAATATTAATTATTAATTAAGTATGCTATTCTAATTTGTATTCAATTTATTATTATCATATTTATTTTTTTAAAAGAAATGTATAATTATACAAATATATGTAGATAGGTACAACAAGTAATAGAGTGATATAATGGTAAAAAAAGAAAGACAAACAATAGTAAAAAACTTGATGTAGGGGATTATTAGGGGTACTCTTAAATGGACTTTACAGTTGGTACTTTGATTAACGAGAAGAAGGGTGGAAGAGCTTAGAAAAATTATAGGAAGAAAATCTATAAATTATTATTTTTACGTATTCACTATAATCAATGCTATAATCTATAATAAAATATTAATTTGCGTAGATACACTTGTCGATTAAAAAATTGGTTACTTATTTAGGTAAAACAACTTCCGTGTTGAAATGATCTGAATGATAGTTTTATCCATGAATTAAGATTTCATGGATATCATTTTAATCCATGGTTTTATCCATGATGCTGACAAGTTGCTGTTATTAATGAGACGAACACATTTAAGCATTTATCATTGGTCGAATGTCTGAAAATCGCAATGGTTGTCAAAGTTGTTAAATGGAATGGAATGTTTAACATTTCCATCAATAATCGACTACCAAGAAAATAAAAAATAACTGTAATAACTTAAAAATAGGCAGTAATCTAAAATCTAGCCGCCTGATTATTATTATCGACAGGTCATCAAAATTTATGACGTCCCATCCGATATGGATATGAACTCAAAACCGAGATATTTTTGAATATATACCACGTTTAGATACTTGCATTATTTAATGATTATTGAAATAAATATTTTTTGTTTAATATACTTCACAATTGCTTAGTATAGAAAATGGCAACATTGCGAATTATTTAAACTCAATCGTATGAATGTATGATGAAAAATGCCCATGAAAAATATCATATTTAGTACCACCATTGGTTTTAGAATGTTTAAAATTGAAAATATTATAAAATCAATGGTAATACTAATTAGAATGTACCATGGAGTTACAACCCATTGTTTTTCGACAAGGAATCTTTTTTTTTTTTCTGTAAATTATTTAGCGGATA